AATATAAAGAGAGAAATTGTTAGATACTATAATATTACAAGATATATATATTTTTCTGCCTGTAATCAAGAGAAATTCTTTTCATTTTGGTCTTCATTGCATGTTCTTTTTCAAAGCTTCAAATAAATAATGAATATTTAAATGTTTCAAGACATGGCCTTACCCTGGCTTCTGGTATATAAATAGTTCACCTAACGTAATGGTACAAGTTTTGAATATTAAATACAATATTATATTTTCACTAGTAAAAGAATTTATAAAAATGTTCAATGTTGTTATATGTATACTACTCTAAGTATTGAAAAGAAGGGCACTTATTTAATTGTTTTTGTTTATTTTCATTTTGAATGTAATGTATAATTAAATGAATAAAATGGTAAATAAAAAAAATAAAAAAATTAGCTTAGCAAATGTCTTAAGTCAAAAAAGTTAAGATGTCCCTAATAAGTATCTTAAGCTGATTACACAATCTTAGCAGAATCTTGGCTTAAAAATCGTCTTAGATGGTGCCAACGTACAATCGACTTTTTAATTTTAAGCAATTTTTAAGCTAAGCAATATGGATAAATTTGACTTAAGCAAAAAAAATTGACTTAAGACGAATTTAAGCTGAATTCTAGTTTGATAAATGTGGCCCCTGGAGTCCTGGTCTGTGTATGTTGTGTGTATTTCTTCTCCTCACTACACTATATGAAAGGATTGTTGCTTAGTTTTTGAAGTGGTGTAGGGTCGGGACAGTTACCTTGTGAATTCCGACACAAACGGGACAACATGCCTCTGAGTATAAGCGTATTCGGTGAACTCATGGTATCCACCATGACCTTCTGGAATATAATGTACCCTACCACAAATGTATGGATGTTGGTATGTATGCCTGCATGTACATCGATCATTTAAACCTATTTAAATTTTGTTTAATTATTTTTTTTATCATTTCCGCGAACAGCACCATTCTTCAGTTGGGCTTCAGTTTAGCATTCGATTTCGACCGTATCGAGAACAACCAAGAAGAATTTAAAAAGTAGGTGCATTTTCAATGGCTTTATCAACGTCACCTTAATATTCCGGTAATTGTAAATTGTCTCTCCATGTCGTCATTCTTTGTCAAACATGTTTGGTCATTCAATACATTTCAATACATCCAAAGCCCTGTTTAGACCATCAATTTTTTTTATTTGACAACAGTTTTTTTTTTGTCAAAGATAGTTTGATTATATAGACAGAGCTTAATTTGGTTATTTACAGTGACATTAAAGACACGTTGGCATCAAGATTTGGAATCCCAAAAGAAAATATCAAAGACATACAGGTAAAAGAATAATATACTTTTTGATTTCTACTCCTACTTGTATATTTCTTTTTATTCGTGACCACAAATTCTCTGATAATCCGTGGGATAACATATTATATACTCAATGAACCGTTCTGATAAGCCCCATCCCTTGCGTATGTTGCTATTAGAGACCCAATTTTCTTTTGGGGTTTGTTTTACTGTTTTAATATA